AAAAACAGAGAAATTTTACCGGCCCGTGGTACTCTGTTGGTCCTCGTCATCGACGCTTTGTTCATCTGAGCAAATTCCTTGTTTTTCACTTTCACTACGAACAGTGATGGACGGCGTACTTCTGCTACTGTCAGATTTGCCCGTATATGACTGTGCTGATTGCGAAGATTCACTCCCGGTACCCTGCGAACGTCGTTTTCGTTTCGGTGGCAAATCCAATTTTTTCTAAAAATGATATTTTACTTTGGGAAATTGTATTTTTACCTTCGGTTAGGTCACATCAACTGAAATAGCAGCGCATAGACGAATCCAAAAGATGCAAAAAAAAAAAACAGAGGGATTGTGGCTTCAAGAGGGAAAAACTGTAAAGAATCAATTACAATTTCAATAAGGTTGAGATGAAAACAGCGAATAATATATGCTGGTGAAATATGAATTCATAAATTTCTTTAAATGGAATTTTAAAAAGTCCTAATTTGTAGATCTTGAAAAGGCGCTGACAATCAATCAGGGCCGGTTAAAATTTTGCTAAATGCTTCTTTGGAAGAACCACTATGCTAGTATCTCTTTCGGAAAAAAACGAGTGTAGGAATCGTTACCAAGCTGATTACCAAGCAATGTGGGACATGATTCAACTGGAAAAATTGTCTGCCGTACAGTCTCATTTACTTCAAGTATTAATTCTGGCTACACCCTGCTCTCCAGTTGGCCCATTTATACAGGTATCACTGATTGAGCACAAATGTCAATTAGCGCCTCAAAAAACAAAAAAAAAACCTTTTCATGCCACGCACTGAAAACGTACGATCTAGTGTCACCACGAAGTCAAATGAAAAAAAAAAATCACTTTTTTGAAACTCGGCATATTCCGCGCAATACCTAATCCCCGAAAAAAAAGACCGGTATCCAGCAGTGCGGCTGTTTCGGGACCAAATGCAGCCGACATTTCGGCTCTTGTCTGCTCCGTCACTTGCCTGACCAGTTCGTTTAGCGAATCTTTCGAGCTGTAAAAACACATATAAACGCTGGAGCACAGCAGGATAGTTGGAGCTCTCGTGCATTTTGGCGCTGCTATTCAGTAAGCGTTTGTTGCCAAAAATGTTCAGTGTTTTACAGTTTGTTGTAAAATACACTGAAAATAATGTCTGGCCCCTTATGATACGAAATTGCCCACTTAGAATTTCACATGCCTGTACGTGAAATGTAAGAGTCATACATGGGTGCTGAATCAAAAATTCTTAAGATCGCAGGATGAATAAAAAACACCCTGAAAATTTTAGCTCTCTCTCTCTTGCCCGATGTCCGAAGTAAAAGTTTATCAAGTGCAATTCACGTGTGTGTACGTCAAAAACACCCAAAAATAAGCGCTGAATATAAATTTGCAAGATCGCATATTGGCAGGAAATATCTAAAAACTCAGCTATTTTACTTAGTTTCCGAGTCAGGAAATTTTTCGTCAAACTTGAAAAAATCTCACGTAAAAATTTTCGAAAAGTTTTCGACCGAAATTTCCAAAAAATTAATCGTCAAAACCATTTATACGTGGAAACTGGACTTAAAATTCTTCGGTCGCACACAGATGGACACCATCCCCCTTACAATTTCATTTTCCTAGCTCCCCAGTGGTTGAATAGACAATTTTTTCGCCAAAACCTTCACAAGAGATTTGGCTTACAAGAAAGATGAAACTGAAATCTCTGGATTACGCATGGACACTAAACATCGAAACTTCAGCTTTTCAACTTTTCCGTCCCTAAGTTAATAACTTTCCTGCGAAAAGCTTCAAATATATGAAACTACTTTGTGAAA